TTTCTTCTGGGCATGCCCTTACCCTTAATGTATACAGAAAACCCACAGGGGGTGGGGTCAAAACTAAAATGCAAATATTATTATAATTCGTCCAGAGTTCCAGGAAGGTCACATTGGCATTGAGGTCATGTCCTTTTCCTCTGAGCTTGGGCCCAATACAGGCAGGTCCAAACCTGCCAACTGTCAGTCTGTGCTGCCCTTAGAGAGGAGGTCTGAAGGCAAAGTTGGTCCAACCCTTGTTCAGGGTAGGCCCTGCCCCAGCCACTCATTTAATTTCCTACACAACACTTTCAGATTCATTTACAAATGACTAGTAATCAAATGCCATTTGCTGGTAGCTACTAAAGTTTCAGTTGACCTTTGCAGTAAAATAAGTTATCTAAAATGCCCATTCCATCTAATTATAGCCAAACTATATAACACCCTGTATTGGTTTACAAGATGCAGAATGAATTATTATGCTCCATCCATCCCCCATGCCCCACATGTCAAATTATACTTTATTTAAAAGCACATCAACATTTTCAGTGGAATTCAAAAACTGGTAAATAAAACCTTACTCAAATAATGAGTAAATATATGAACTGTCAGTAGTTTAATGATTTTTCAAAGTGAGTTTTTAAAATCAAGGGTATACCTGATTAAAAAACAAGTTTATTGTCTAAGCATAGTAATAATTTGGCTTGCTCTCAATAAGATGTTTTCTTTTCTCCTAAAAATATATTACTTTTAAACACATGTTTCTATTTTGAGGAAGTAACTGCCCATGTAAAAGTCCTTATTTATGGCCCCGCCTCAGCGGTTTAGAGGCAGTGTGTTAAAGCATTAAACGAAATGTCTACTTTTAGGACATTTGTTCATGCTGTCATCTGTATTTTGGCAGATGTTTTATCTTTGCCACTGAGTTGTTAATGGAGATTTGAAAAGCTAGGTTCTAAATATGAAAAATAGGTGTTTTTCCCAAAATTAATAAATATTCTGAATCCAAAATTATCACTCATATTATTAAAACTGTGTGTATTCCTTAATGTTGATTCAACTATGGCTAGTATAGGCATTGCTTTTAATACATTAATGATATTTTTGTGACACAATTTTTATAAAGCTATTTACCCAACTTTTAGGTTTTGCTGTCATAACTATTTATACAAGATTTTAAAATTCTATATTTTTATATCTTGTGCCCAATAGAGTGCATTTGGGCTGCCATGAAGCTACTTTCACTTGTACAGCTATATTTTCTATGATAAAAGAAGAAGAAGAATAGTGTAGAATCAATTTTGCTAAACTCATTGTAATACTAAACTAAAAGTACAGAGCATCCAGGATATTTGATTCTGACAGACTTATATTAAACAATAGAACCTGGATTTCCCTTCTGTGTGGTTATGTGGAAGTAAGGCAGGAATTAGAGGTGATACCCTCCTCTATTTTCTTCCATACCCATGGAACAGTTGTATATGACTCCATATCTGGTCAACCCAGGGATTGAAAATATTTATGCATATTTCAATATGTGTCACACTGATGGGTTAAAAGAAAAGGCAGGGAATTGGGCAAGTGCAAGGTCTATCAAAATGTTTTTACCTGTTTCAAGCCACATATGAGCCCCCTTGCTATTTTTCATGCACTTTACAAGGCCTTCCTGGACATAGAGATGAATTTCGGATTCTATGCCTCTTAATAATATAAAATGCAGTTACTAGGTAGCAGGAATTTTGTTGTTTTTAATCCTTCACTGGTACTTAATATATTTTCAGTGCTTAAAAAGGCCTTAATACTGGATGTTACTGAATTTAAACTGCCCTTCTCCATGTAATTCTAGCTCAACCACTGCACTTCTTGTAAGGCCACTTTACAATTTAAAGGCTATTAATTTGAGTCAGAACTAGACACTCTGGAGACACCCCACTTTACCCCAGACCTTGTTTGATCTCTATTGAAGAGAGATCTAACTAAACCTCCTTTTTCTTTTTTTTTTTAACCTTAATTCTAACCCAATTCAGTTTGAAGCTCCAGTTTTTCATTCCAGGGTCAAGGTCTATGGCAAAACGGATTCATTTCTAGCAGGTATCTTTACTCATTAGCTTTGCTTCATTTACCTTAGTGACTGCTGGGATTTCTTACCCCATTCCTGAATAGCCATTCCAAGCAATTATTTTCCTACTCTACTTCAAAAAAAAAAAAAGTGGTTATGTGTGGTGTAGAATCTTTCAACTTCCCTCCCACCATTTCTAAACTTAGCTATATCATCTTAGGTAACATTCATCAGTTTCTCCATTCTCACCCAGTTTCAGAAGTATACATATTCACCTTTATAAGGATGCGAAGAAAAGGGAACACTCGTGCACTGCTGGTGGGAATGCAGACTGGTGCAACCACTATGGAAGACAGTATGGAGTTTCCTCAAAAAGTTAAAAATGGAACTCCCATTTGACCCAGTGATCCCACTTCTAGGAATATATCCCTAGAAATCAGAAACACCAATCAGAAAGGATATACGCATTCCTAGGTTCATAGCAGCACAATTTACCATAGCTAAGATCTGGAAACAGCCTAAGTGCCCATCAGCAGATGAATGGATTAGAAAACTGTGGTACATCTACACAATGGAATACTATGCTGCTGTAAAAAAGAAGGAATTCTTACCATTTGCAACAGCATGGATGGAACTGGAGAGCATTATGCTAAGTGAAATAAGCCAGTCAATGAAAGAAAAAGACCACATGATCTCACTCATTTATGGATAATAAAGACCATTATAAACTGATGAACAAAAATAGATACAGAGGCAGAGCAGCATTAATCAGACTGTCAAACTACAGCAGGAAGGCCGGGGAGGGTTGGGGGGCAGGCGGGGAGGGGAAGAGATCAACCCAAGGACTTGTATGCATGCATATAAGTATAACCAATAGACATAAGACACTGGGGGTAGGGAGGCCAGGGGAATGTCAAGGGAGACATATGTAATACTCTTTGTAATACTTTAAGCAATAAAACAAAATTTTTAAAAATAAATAAATAAATAAAAATAAATAAATAAATAAATAAATAAATACAAGAAGAACCAAAAAAATCTTGCCCTGTTCCTGTCGCCACAGTTCTTCCAATATCACCTTCTCAATCTGTTCTCTTTGACTGTCAAATTTAATGAAAGAATAGTTGCCTCTCCTTACTCCCCTCCCATTTATTCCAAATGCAGTATGACTTCTCATCCCACTAGTCTATTGACATTTTCCAGATACAGTACCCAGTGATGTAATTTTTCGTCTAGGGGCTCTTTGTACTTATCACACTTGACATCTATGTTGTTCATATCAAGAAATTTTCTTGATAACTATAGTGGAGGTCTTTGCGGAGTCACCTACTTCTCACACTACTACTCACTTCCTTAGTTTGTTCCTTTTTAACTATTTGCTCCATAATCATTGGCATTCTGCAACATTCAATTCTCTGATACCTGCTCTGTTACTTTGAAAGGACTCTCTGAACAATCATATTTATGCTCATGATTTCAATTATTAGCTATATTCTTGGTCTCTGAAGCTTTCACATACTTAGTAAATGCTCAATAAATGGCAGATAGAGTTGACTAACTTTGGCTCTTCCTGCAAAATTAAGGAACTCTTCCATCTCTCCTGCAACTGACTTAGTTGAAATTTTGCACTGAAATATGTAGCTTCATGATTCCATAATCAGGTTTATAGAAATAAGAAGTGGAGGGTTCTCTTGAAATATGGAAGAAGAACGAATCCTCTCTGATACAAATGTTTGTATTCCTTTCTTGGGACTCAGACTTTAACTTTTTTACATTCATAAGGAATGTAATGAGGCATACTTGCTGGACCCTGGGTTTAATCCATAGGCTACAAAATAAAGACATTGTCCTTGCTTTTCTACCGTTTCTCCTAATGGGGAGACCAATTAAATCAAGTATTAATTACAACATTTAGTAACAAGGGTAGTGACAGCACTTGAGAGGGAATCATGAGAGCAATAAAAAGAGATTGAATACAGTTGCATAGTGGTACGGAAGGGGAACAGGATTAAACATCTGAACTGTGATTTAGAAGGAAGAGCCAAAGTTAGTCACCTCTATCAGCCATTTATTGAAAATTTGCTAAGTATATGAAAGACATTGAGATAAGAACTTTGTGTTCCTTATCTCATTAAATCTCAACAAAATCTCCAGGAGGTATATACTATCACTTCCCATCATATAGATGAGGAAGTTGAGGTGCAGTGGTTAAATAATTTGCATATGATTATATTTCTAGAAGGGGCTAAGGCTAGAGCCAATGTCTGACTCTAAAATATGTGTTCTGACCTATACACCCAGAGAAGGGTATGATCCTCTAGGCTGGGGGAACATGTACAAAGGCATGGACATGAGAGAAATAATTCAGAACCTCATGATTTTGAAAAACACAATTGGAAATCCAGGTTTTGCCTGGGCTTCCTAATACAGGGATGGCTAGAAGAGTAGAGAACTGGGCAGAACTGAGCTTGTGAACCACAAGCTTGGTTCAGACTGCAAATTCCCAGAAACATAACAATTTGCACCTCCCAGTCAGAGAAGGTTTAGATCATTGTGTAAAAATGCTGTTTTGCCCAGTTTTTAGAGTATTACCTGCATATGTACAGCACAGCATTTGTGAGAGGGCACTTGTCCATGTATTTGCTCCTTTGATACTCGCCACAATTCTGTGAAGAGGGCCGGTGTTCCTTTCTGATCCTTTACTTGCAGAGCGTAAACCAAGGCCTAGAAAAGTTACCTGAATTGCTTAAGGTCACATACCGACAAGTGACAGGTAGAATTTGTACTCAGGCTTTCTGAACCTTGTTCAGTTCATATTTTACTATGCATCCTAGCATTCAACTCAATGGGCATTTAAAAAGTACTATGTTCATAGGATAAAAACATATTATGTTCCTGAATTTTATTCCCAATTTGTGTAAAAGGAAGAAATTGTAAGGATGAACTGTTAAAGTTGATATTTATATTTGTTAGTACTTTGTTGTTGTTGTTGTTTTCAGGGAAAATCCAACTAACTACTTATAGAGAAGAGTTAATAAATGGCTGAAAAATATAGAAGAAAACTACAATTTCTCTACAATTTGCACATTTTAGGTGAAAGATGAGTGATTGCAATTATCTTCCCAATCTCTATTTTGTAAGGCAACTGGTAGTTTATCCTATTGAGAAGAATTTAATAGGATATACCTACTTATCAGAAATATCTGTTCTTGATTTCAACTGTTTTGTAGCTTTATTTTGAGTGGTTTGTGGTTTTTAGGAGGAGGGAATACCTGTAAAATGCATTTGGAAATTTTTGTTCTATAGTTTCAATTAAATTTGGGAGGGAGAAAATGCCTTTCAATTGTATATATCTCTTAATAGTATTTGCATACCAAATGTCCATTGCTGTTTGTATTTTGCAATGGGATATAGCCAGAGAATATTTTTTCTCCTTAGCATTCTAAGACTTTCCATCTTAGATGTAAGAAGTGATTCATCTGATTTACTTTTTATATTAAAGTACAATATAGCTCACCACATTGCTTGGAGATGTAACCTAAAGATAGAGATAAACTTCATATGGGTTTAGCAAGTTCTGTTTGGAGGGAGTATATATAAATTGAGACAATATAATATTTGGTTTTATTTTCTGTTCAAAAATTTTCCATGGTAAGAACAATATTTTTCTACGTACATTAGTGAGCAACAATGATTTCTTCAAAGCTTCTGAAGCCAAATATACAACTTCATGTTCCAACACAGGTTGCTGAATTTATTACCAATACTTTTGGTAATGTGTACTGTGTATTACTGAGAATGAATAAAGAATAGTTACAATGGTGTCTACCGTCTGTGCAGGTTAATATTAAAATACATTGTTTCACTTTTTTACCTGGTCTGCCTTCTTTGTATAGCTGCACTGCATACTTAAGGGGACAATTGAAGCATTGATCTTTTATCTTCAGGATTTGTAACATACCTAAGACCTTAATTTATAGAATTCTATAGTGAAATGAAACTATTTTCTTTTTCTTTTCCAGGTTCAGCTCAGCTAATATTTAATATAACCGACTCTGTAGAATACACCAAAGATAATAAAACTATTCTCATCCCATGCATAGTCAATAATTTGGGGGCAAAGGACCTTGAAGAAATGTTTGTAAAGTGGAGATTCAGAGGTAAACAAATTTTCTACTATGATGGATATAAAAATGAATCTCAGTCCACCAGTGACTTTTCGAGTGCATACTTCGTACCAGACACACTGCTATCAGGCAATGCCTCATTGATTATGGACAAGAGTGATGCTGTCCCAGGAAACTACACTTGTGAAGTAACAGAATTAACTAGAGAAGGCGAAACCACCATAGAACTAAAATATCGTATTGGTAAGAATTTCATAATCTTCCCTTTTATTTGTCCTGCAGTAGCCTAATCCTATGAGAATTGAGGCACAATGGGACTAGGGACTCCTTTGAATCAAAAAGTAGTTTATGACTATTAATGATTATGTAATATTTAGCAGCTTTAAGATTATGACTTTACTTGGTCTACTTTTCATAATAAAACTCCTTTGCTGTGATATTTGTATATTATTAGGTTCTCAAACTTTTGTTCTGAGAACTGTTCTGATGGTGTAGAGGTCCAGGCATCATTTAATCTGCATTTCTGTTTGCTGCTATCAAAAGTACTACCTTTCATGTGATTAATTTTCCATGATCTTTTCAATGATGTAGCTTTTTTATTACCTGCACTTTGGTCAAGGGCTGACAAGTCCCAGCCATGCTCCAGCTGGAAAAAAAAATAGATCAGAAAGAAAACCACAAAATCAAAAATCAGGTCATAATGATGTTTCCTTGAGGTTTCCTGCTATGGTGTTTGTTCTTTTTCTTGGTCAAGATGAGGGAGAGCTAGGGATCTAATAGAATTAATTTGAATTCAGCCTTGGTTATAGCACCATGATTGTGCC